CTTAAAGGTTCCATAAAGCACAAGTTACATCTCATTACACCTGTATTATCCCTAAAGCCTGAGACTTTGAGTTGGATACATAATCCCATGACTGACTATTAAACATGTATTATCCGCCCACCTGTCCTCCAACTTGAAGATAAAGCAATTATCTCAATCTTTAATACACTGGACTAATATTATAAGCAAGCAAGATAGAAGAGCGCTATAATTCAATAAAAAACAAGGAACTAAATTGTGCATATATTAATGCAAGAATGACATTGAACAAACAAACAAATAAAGAAACTTCATAGCTTAGAAACCTGTCTCCACACCCTAGGTTTGTCCACGTGGGGCATCAAAAATAACAGTGGGGGTGGGCCTCATCGATATCATGTACAGTGGTGGAGCTATGGCTATGGCCCCATAATGCAGAACCATATATAGACATATTGGTTAGGTTCTCATTAATTTGTAGTTGAGACCAATCAACCAGCTAACAACTCTTCTTCAATGGGCCATTATGCTAAACATCAAATACAATGGGGCATACCTAGTGTCTCAAAATCAGGGAAATATGCACATGCTTATTTGTTTAAATTTATTACACTATATAATAAGAAAACATCAGATGAGCTAATCTGTCGTTCTGTTTCTTTCTAAACAATTAGCTCTGAGAATTTCAAGAACTTTTGTGAAAGAAATTTCAAGATTTCGTATCAATGTCAACATTAGATAACTCTGATCAGACAATCTTGCAGCAGAAGTGCAAAATTCAGAGAATATTGAAAACTGAAACTAGGGACTTTCAATTCAGTTTTCAAATGCAGGGATATTCACTTAAGAACTGAAGTAAGAATTAAGGATTCATTAATTTAAATGAGAGGAGGGAGTAATAACAGGTTATCAAAACAATAAAATTGTAATTTTGCACTAAAAAACAAGAATGAAAGACATTGATAGAACAGAAATAACCTGCAAATCTAAATTGCCAAACAATCATATATAGAGATACATATGGGTTTGTGGTAGCATACACTCACTTTAGGTGATGGGTGCCCAAGCTTCGAATTGAACCCACTAATTATGTGGTTCTGAGACTCAATGTCAGTGTGGCTGCGGAGGTCACCGGAGGGCGTGAGAGCCGGCGAGGTAGTTCTGAGGAACTTCTCAAAGATAGCCATGACAAGAAACATAGAAATGAGAATGGCGGTGGCAACAAACCCAAATGAAACTGCATTCACCGAGTTATCAAAATGGGACCAGTGGTCATCTTTCTGAATATAAGCTGGCGCACTACTCGGCGCCGGAGGCCAACCCCTAAAGCCCTCTTCTTCTACTCCCATTCCTACTATTTTTCTTCAACTAAGCTTATCCTTTAGCAGTAATACTGTTGAAGATTCTCAGAGAGAGAAGGCGAGAGGCACGAGAGTCACTGGAGGCTGAAGAGGAGAGAGAGCAACCTCTGGAACTCTGAAGATGTATGCTTTTCAACGCTTTTAAAGAAGAATTGGAAACAGCACCCCACACCACCCCACCCAACAACCTTCCTCCTCGCACCCTGTGTTTTTGACAGTTGAAAGGAACGTCTTTCCTTCTTCGATGATTTTCACTCACATGACACTGTTCAAGTTCCTGAACTTGCGCCTTTATCTAATTTTTTATTCCGTTTAAGAGGAAATTAGGCCTTCTACCGTAGAAAATTGAAATATACTGTCGGTTTTAACATTTTAAAAAGGGAAAATTGCATCGGAGGTCTCAAGCCTTTCAATTTACTGTAGACCCCACTTTAATCTTTTGTTCTCATGGTCGCAGTCCCAAATTTTTCAATTTGATGACTTTCGGAGTCCATTAGACAAAATTCGTCCATTAATCCTTTAATCAACTCAAAAATTAATACTTTGGCTCAAGTTGACAAATTAATTGAAATGTAAAATTATAAATTAGCATTTTCTATATTAAAACAATTAAAATAATTAAATAAAAACCAAAAATAAACTTCATCTTCTCCAAACATCCCCCACTTAACATCCAGATGTACTCATCGACAATGTCAATGCTCACCACCACTGACTAGCCATCCACTCCGTCGCCCTACGTCTTCCTTTGGACCCTCTTAGAAATCCCACATCCACATCTCCATTATCAACAATGCCAAACTCCCAAGCGAGATTTGTTGAGGTTGTCTCACATCGGTTGTGGATGTGGTTGGTATTCAGTTTATAAGTGTAAGAGAAAACCTCATTTCTTGAGCTAGTTTTTGGGGTAAGAGAGGCTCAACGCCACTCAACACTGATATCAGAGCCCGATTTATAAACAAGTTTCCGACCCAATAGTCACGGAGATACGAGTTTGTGTGAGGGAGGAGACGAATTTGGTCTTCCGCAAGGCCTGATGTGCTAGGAGAGACGTGTTTGATCTCCCACAAAGCTCGATTTGTGAGGGGAGGATTGTTGAGATTGTCCCACATTAGTTGTGGATAGGTTGTTATTCAGTTTATAAGTGTAAACGAAAGCCTCACTTTTTGAACTAGCTTTTGAAGTGAGATGGATCCAATACCACCCAACAAGATTGACCCCAAGAAGCGCGTGGTCAGATTCGGGGATTCAAATCAAAGGGTTACATTGATGGAAGAACGATCGGAGGCTTGATTATAGTCTTAGTTACTACATTGTCGTTGGGAAAAAAATATGGATTCTACTTTGCTTGCAATTAATCTTGGATTGATAAGGCCAAATTACTCAATTTTATTGAAATTTGTTCGAGAAATTGCTGGTGAAGGCGGGGAGAAGAGGCTCAGTTGAATGGGCTAGTAGTGATGGAGATTGTGCATTAGAATCAAAATTGGACTTAGATTTCTGAGACTCAGCTGGAGATGGAGGTTCAAAATCTTAAGATTGGGTTTCGTGTTGTTTTTGGGTCTGCTCACCATGGTGGTTGTAGTTGTCGATGGAAACGATGACGATAAGCATAGATTTGCATTGAGAAGATGAAGTTCATTTGTTTATGATTTTTGGGGACGGTGGTTGGTACAGTGCGATAACAGTGGTTGGCCGGTGCGACAGCGTGTGGATGGGTGACAATGGTCGGTCATGACTGAGTTCTGATTTTTTTATTTTGGGGTGGGAATTCGGGATGTTTGGAGAAGGAGTAGTTTATTTTTATGTATTTATTTCGTTTTTTATATAAATATTTTAATTGTTTTATTATAGAAAATGTTAATTTATCATTTTATCCTTTACTTAATTTGTCAAGTTGTGTCAAAGTATTCATTTTTGGTTGACCAACAAATTCTGTCCAATGGATTTCGACCGTAGTCAAAGTGAAAAAGTTTGAAACTGTGCACAAAAATAAAACGTTAAGGTATAGTTTGCAAAAAAAAAAAAAAAAATTGAAAAGTTTGGGACCTCTGATTCAAGTTTCCCTTGTAAAATATACTGATTAGTCTATGAATGATAACTGAAATGGTTCACCAATTCATCTTTTGGGTCTAAATTTAATGGCATCTCGTTTGCAAATTTTTCGAATGATTAAGTTTGTACTATTAACAATACGTTTTATAAGACTTATCCATCTATGAATGTAAAACTAGGATAGAATGACTGATCATAAATTATTCAGTAGATAAAATTTCTATCAAGTTTACTCCAAAATTTCACATATAAGTTATACATTAGGTCAATATCTTAACTTGAGTGGTGGTCGGTTTGTCGAAATTGGTGGAGATATAGCGGAAGAATGGATGGTGGTCAATTGACATTGGTGGTTGTGTCTATTGACCATTATGAGGTCGTACTCATGGTCACAAAATTCTCACAAGAAAGAAAATTCATCTTCGATAGTCTAGAACAAGAAATAATGTTATTTGTAGTCGTCACTATCGTAGCCATCATATGTGACATACATATCTATAATTCTTATCAACTTCATAACCATATAATTTATCATTTTTTTGTATCAAAATATAAGAAAATTATGATTTTCAGCTACACCAAATAGGGGCTTGATCTCGAGTAATGCTATTTGCGATCACACACTACTGTAACCATTCTACATGGCATAAAAGGGACCAAACAAACCAAGACAGATACTTTCTCTTCTTTTTATGATTTTCTTGTCCAAAGGTTGGGTTATTGGGCTTTTCATGAACAGTAACATATTACTGGGCCAATCTATGTTGGACTTTTATACATTGTCGGGCCCCCAGAATCATTTGCACATGAAATTAAAGGGATTTTCCTATTATTTTCTTAAAATAATTGAGATTTTTGCTAATTAGCCTATTAATTTGAGATTTGAGTCCAAAGAGAAAGATTCTGCCTCTACAAAAGTATCCCAAAAGAGTTTAATCAATGTCATTAATATAATAAATTTAGAATAATATAATTAAAAAAGCCAAAAAAGATTGATTAGACGAAAAAAAGAAATGATCAAGGGACGAAACAATAACAATATAGGTACTAGGCAGGGTTATTATTAGGAAACATTATCATAGACTTTGTAATAAGCATGTCATGCAAAAGCTTAAACACCTTGAAAAGAACCAAACATGACACAATCATAATATAATCCTTCCTATTTTGGGCAAACATTTCCTTTCCCGTATCTCATTTTTCATAATTGTAGTAGTTGGTGTACATCATTGTTGTTGTGATTTAGGGTCCATTTTGTAGGATTTCTGCATTTACTTCTACTCCTGCTTTTGTAGAACAATTCCATTAGGAATCTACATTAATTAATTTTTAAAAAAGCTCGCTTACGAAAGAACTTTTAGATGAAACTATATTGGGCCAATTTTCTTTAAAAACCCTTCTAACTATAAGAATCACTTTTATAAAACTAACCAAACAGATCTAAGAACTCATTTTAATGATATGCACACAATAGAGCGGTGGTAAAAGATTCAAATACTTGAACTCTTGTGTATTGAAATAAAGCTTTCATTTATGTAGAGAGTAAACCAAAATTCATGCCCATAACGTGACATTGAATCTTATAAAAAAGTAAAGAGAAAATTGCTAAGAAAACGAGACCACACAACAATGGCTGCAAAGTTCTTTTTCTCCCTCATCCTCCATTGGCTCCAAGCTTGTCCATGCATTTTCTCTTGCAGAAGTGTCAAATCTTTGAACAACTGAAATTGTTCTTGATGTCTCTCCTACAATCTTGTAACCTGCTAAGAAATACAAATGACTCCCAATTGGTGCCATTGTTATGTATAGTCTCTCTCCAACCCCAGAAATACCTTTGATTTGTGAACCTTCAACCATGTACCACAAATTAAGGTTTCCATCATAGGCTTCAATATGACCTTTCCATGCATTAAGGCAATCCCCAGAGCTATATAATCTGCCCTCCACAGCTACAATTTGATTGGGCGGTACGTCTAATTGCCACATTCCAGTCACGAGATCCCATTTTTCGCCCTGAGTATTGTATATTTCGGCAGAACAACGACCTATGTAAGTCACAAGTTGGTCGAGATTATAGTCATGGACAAATCCACCGATAACATGTACTTTCCCTTGCCATGTTACACCGACGGATTTGTACCTTAATCTATTCATGTTTGGCAATAAAGTCCACTCATCAAGCGAGGGATTGTACACCTCGACCGACGAGGTGCTTTGAGCACTTAGTTCATATTGTCCTCCGGCGACATAAATCTTGTCATCACATACTGTGCAAGCAAAGTTGTATCTTGGTACATTAAGTGGTGCACCGTAAGACCATTGATCAGACTTGACATTGTAACGTAACACCGTTGAAAGAACTTGTACATCTTTCTCGGAAAATTCATCCAACCCATTGGCATTACGAAGAATTTTTCTCTCCTTCCGACATAACCTCCCTCCAATTATGAAGATTGAGTCTCCCATGGACATCATAGCGAAATCTTTTAATACATGATTTTCTTTTAGGTCAGGAATTGAACTGACGCGATTCCACATCTCATTAGAAGTATCAAAACAAGATAACCAACTCGTAAAGTTATCAAATTCTCTTGCGCAGAACACGACATAAATACCTTGGCGTGGACTACCATTTTCCGATGGCGGAGATAGTGGTGGTGGTGGTGGTGAGGAAAGTGTGCCCATCGAAGTGTTGATAGGGGGACAATAGGTTGCTGCTAGCATATTTGCAAAATGTAAGAATGTAGTTATTGTAGCTAATTCCTATAAATACTTGAATAGATTTATGTGGTTATCTAAGTTATTGAAAATTTTGACGGAGATCACAACATTTATATTGTTTGATAGTATCGATCGGCAATTATTACATGAATTTTTTTCTTGTCAAATGATTTGTTCAATGTTTAATTTGATGTCTTCTAAGACTTTTTAATGGCTTAATCTATTGATGTCTTAATCAAAAGCAAGAAACAGTAAATGATTGCCGTACATGTGTGCAAATAAAAAAACTTTAAAAATGATTAATTAAATGATTTAAAAAGACTATTTATTTTGGGTATGGACATTGCATTGTTTTTCCAGAATCAATGAATTTTTGTTCCTATTTCAGATAGGGGTGACAAATGGGCTGAGCTATTCGTCGGCTCGGCTCATCTTGGCTCGATAAATGGGTCGCTCGAGCTTGCATTGAAGTGAGTCATGCATCAAGTTGATTCGAGAGAGTTTGGCTCGTGGGGCTCACTTGTCGGCTCGTCTTGAGCTCGTGGGTCAACTTGTTTTTTGTTTATTTTATTAATTTATTTAAAAAATGAAAAATAAAAAACGAGTCAGCTGAAGCTAGGCTTGTGTCCACATGATCTGAAAGGCCAAGCCTTGTTGGAGGACACAAGTTGAGCTTGGACTCAACTCGATTCATTGACATTCCTAGTTTCAGCTAATTTTTGTATGATACGTTAAAAAAATTATCACAAAAAAGAAAAAATAAATGAGTTTATACCGGAGAAATCATGGTTCGAATGCTTGAATTAGACGGTATATTAAATAATATTTGATAATTATCTCTTTTTAATCTTGTACGATCATATCTTGTAAAACATATCTAATAGATAAATTAAAAATGTGAGGAGCCAAATTTTGATGATTACATTTGCATGCAAATGCTACTGATTATCACTTTGAAAAGCACCTAAAGAAAAGGAGGGGGTAGATTGGGCGTTGGAATATAATGGTACATATACAGTTAAATAATGATTTATATATAGATGATGTGTCAAAAAGAGAGAGGAGAATGATTATATTATTATTATTATTTTGAATTTGGTAGAAATTTTTTTGACCCAATCATGTGTACGTAAATAATTATGTACATATAGCACAATCGGGGTGGTGGAGATCCAAATGAGATACTAAAGAAATACAACATTTTTTTGCATATCAAATTTCTCAATTTTTATGGCCGATCAGACAGCAGTTTCGGAGCTAAACATTATCTTTACTTCTTCAAACTCGTCTTACTGCGAATAGTTTACTAAAAATGTTGTAATATTGTTATTCAAAATTAAAGAGGCTAAAATTGAGATTCAAATGGATAAAGTGGGAAAATTGAGCTATAAAGATGGCTTATGCAACTGCATAAGCCTTTAATAAGGCTTATGCGGTCGCATATGGATTTTCAGAAAACCAAGGGGGGGCCAAAAGCTATAACTATGCGACCAAGATGGCTTATGCGACCGCATGAGCCTTTAAGTCTTGTGGTCGCATATGAATTTTCAAAAAACCAAGGGGGGAGGGGGGGAAAACTATAACCATGCGACCGCATAGTTATAGCCTATGCGATCGTACAGTTATAAAAAGTGACTTTTTGCTGGACTTTTTTCGAATTTCTGGTAGTTTTCTTTGTGAAACCATGCATATATTCGTTTGAGCTGAAACTACTTCGTGTAGGGATGGTAGAACATTATAAACACATGGTGTGTTCATCCTTAAAACATATGAAAAACTATTTGCAACTTCATCCAATTTTACATGAAACTTTGTCCCTCTACATAATCAAATTCTTCTTTTTCACTTGTTCAATTGAAGATCACTCTTGCTTTTGGTGCTCCTCTTCAAGGCCTAATTATATCTTACAAATTGTTTGCCAAAATTTAATTCTTAAAGGCATTGTGAACGAGACAGATATCGTTTGAGGACAGCGATATATTTTTCGTGTTCAAGTCTTCTTCGATTTATATTTATTCATTTTTTCCCTTTCAATTCTCCATTACTGTATTTTTAATAACAAAAAGTACAAAAAAGACCTGATTACCAGTAATTTTTTATCAAATTAATTTAGGGGTAATTATGTAACTATAAATATTTGGGGACCAAGTTGAAAAATCAGGTGAACTAGTAAATGTTGTAACGTTAGAATAACCGGATAAATTAAGTGCTCGTTTGACATTCTTTAATTTATTTTATGATTTTTTAAAGGATCATTTTCAATCATATATTTACACAATAAAATATTATACACGTATTCAAAAAAAAATTTCCTTACTTTTTAACCACACATTTTCCTAAAAATTACTATTCAAAACTCCTTTTTTCCTACCAAAATGGTCGTCAAACAAGCTCTAAATTCAAAAAGGTATTATCAAATAGATTTTATTATTTTTTTTTTTGTCATCATGATTATAAGGGTCTGTTTGATTGTAAGGATGAAATTTGGGTGGAAAAAAAACGAATTTTAGGAAATTGAATTACCTTGAACTTGTTTTACTGGAAATTGACAATTAAATGTATTTGATTGATATAATTTT